AGAGTATACTACACTGAAAAGTAGCACTACGCTGAAACCTACTTCCTCAACTAAAAGACGTCGATTGAAGTTTGAAAAAAGATGGTAAAATTGTTCTTGTCACAAACATTTTTGTCTAGCAAAGGCCATATTATCTGTGTGTTGTATTAAAAGTCGATGGGGCGGCGGGTTAATCACTTAAAATCATCAAGTGGATTACAGAAACTTAATTTTTAAACATTAATAATGATAATAGCTTTATTCCAAACAGTATTTGTGGTACAGGTATGGAATTTTCAGCGTGCATTACAATATTGCATCTAATTACCTCATAAATTTTTATAAGATTTTAAAAATAAAAAGCAACAACAACAAAAAGAAAAAAAGGGAAATAAAAGAAATAAAAAACAACAGCATTGCATTCACATATTTAAACAATGCACCACAGGATATGAAATATAAAATCAGTGTGTAATAGAATATGTGAGCAACAATATAATAGTAACAAAGAAAGGAGAACAAAAGCTAATGGGAACTATTTGTTAGAGTGCCGCAGTAAGTTGATCGTGTCATGCCTAACAGTTTTCTCATCACATAACAGCTGTGCCAGTTAAGGTATAGTGGAGTTTTTCTACTTGGTATTCCTGGTATATAGCCTCCTATGGTTGCTTCTAGTTCTACCAGATGAAATGCAAGGAGAGAGCTGCGTATAGAGAGGGTGTTCGGGGTCTGACAATATAGAATCCACTAGTTTCTTACATGACATTATGTCTATCCACAATGGTGTTAACCAGTTGGTTTAACGAAATCCCACTTGCCCTACTAACAGCTTTTAGTGCCCTTCTCAGTAAAGCAAAATCTTTCTTAAGTAGTCCAGGAAAGATTAATGAGGAGCAGTAAAGAGGGATGGGTAGAATACAAGAATTGACAAAGTGAGAAAGCAAAGACTGCTTTATACCAGACTGCCTTAACTTCCTAACGTAGAGCGTTAAGTGAAACATCTTTCTAGTAACTAGCAAGATGTGAGAGGACCAGGAAAGATCGGCGGAAATACTCAGTCCAAGGTGCTTGACATTAGATGTAGTTTCAACCTCTATGCCGTCAATGATAGTGGGACCATGTGAGCTAGCTAGTTGTTGTAGGTCACTTCGTCTGAAAGTGAATTTTACATTTAGACGGATTCAGCTTAAGACCGTTTGAAGAGGACCAGTGACTAATTTCCGAGAGAAAATTATTTAATTTGGAACAGTCTGACTGAGAGTTGACAGGGATGGAGACAGAGAGGTCATCAGCATACTTGACAAAAGTGGCTACATCAGAATGGGGCAAGACATGCAAGAAAAAAGAAAACAGAAAAGGAGAAAGAACAGCACTTTGAGGAACACCAGCTAAAGTAAGTGAGGTAGTGGACAACTTTCCATTGTAGACAGTGTACTGCTTCCTATCATTTGTACATTTAGAGAATAGGAGGATAAATTCAGTGAAGAAATATATTCCTTTTCAATTTGTCTCACGTCAACAGCTCAACATTAATATATATATATGCTGACGGATCGATATCAGTTAGTGAACTATTGAAAACCCCAATCTACTGCTGAAGAAATATAACTGTTGCCATCCAGTAATAAAATTCACTCTTGAAATGGAAAACAAGTCAAAAATTCCGTTTTTTGATGTGGAACTAACAAGAAGAACTGATGGGAGCCTAAGAAGATCGATCCATAGAAAACCGACTTGGAATGGTCAACTAACAAGCTTCTATAGCTGGGTACCCATTCAACAATAGCGAAATTTAATCAAATCGCTTGCCACCCGCATCCGACGCATGTGTAGTTCCGACTTTCTAGAAACAGAATTGGAGAAATTTTCATCCAAAATGGATACCCAATGAGATTCATTGACAAAAATATCAAACCAAGAATTTGGAGAAATGGAACTTTACTTGCACCAAAAAAGAAACTCTACATGAACCTGGATTTCAAGGGAGATTTAGCAAGCGATATTCTCAAGAGAAGGATCACATCATCTCTAAGAAAAATATTCTTTGCAGCAACGCTAAGAATAGTGTTCTCCAGTCGCCCACTGATCTGCAGAAGCCTCAAGGAAAAGATCCCACATCTGACCACTTCCATGTGCATATATCAGTTCACCTGCGGCTGTGGAGCCAGGTACATCGGTCGTTCGACGCGCACCCTGTCCAAGAGGATTCAAGAACACTATCCAGAATGGTTGCGAAAGGGCAATAGTGGTGCAATAAGGAGTGCGATAATTGAACATCTGGTTAACACTGATCATTTCATTTCAACAAACGCCTCCTTCAAAGTAATCTACAGAGTCAAGAACAACCTATCAAAGGCAATACAGTTTCGCCTTCTTTGTATCGCTGAAGCTCTGGCCATTCACATAGAAAAAACCGGAGCTGTGCGTACAAAAGAGGATTACTCAACCACTTCTACTGATCTTGGTAACAACTTTTTTTTATTTGATTTTGATGACTTAATTTTGTTTCTTTGCCTATTTCTTTAGTTGCTTATAATTCTTGTATTCATTTAGAACTCTTACGTAATTTCTTATTCTCTACTTTACTTACTTACTTTACTTCGGCTATCTCCTACGGGAGGATGAGCCGGCTTCATGAACATCTCGAATCATCACTGCCCAGGCGCGGCGATCTGATGTGTAAGGGAGTTCATGAAGTTTCATGGGAATTTGGTACGAGTGATGTCCCCAGAATCGCTCGGCCTTTTGTTTGAGAGTGCAGCTCTAGCCTTTACACAACCAAGTGTGACCTACAAGGCAGTAGGAGTGGAGTAGGGAGTCCACTATCCATTGGCAGCCGGTGACCGGAGTTCGGTTCATACGCCTTTTTGAATGGGGCCAGACATCCAGGACATCCAACAAGCCCTTTGTCCATACGTCTGCCAGTGAGCTTCATACGCCAGTCGTTGGGGGTTTGGAATCAGGGTTTAGCCATCTCCCCTAGACTGTCATCCAATGGACAGTCAACCCGGTGAAGAGCACCTGGCATCCGCTTTCGCCCTCTCACTTTGGTGAAAAACACCTCCGCCACGTGAAGGCAGTGAGTAGGACTTCCTGAGTAAAACTCACTCACCAAACTAGTGATATTATTACATAACTTATTTAAACAACTGTTTGTGACAACTCATCACCTTTGTTACTACCCTAATTTCACTAACACCTAAGTTTCTTGACTGATTTTGTATTACGTAACTCCAATTACCAATCTTCACCTGTTTAGTTAAAATAACTATAACCAATTGTATTTTTGTTCGACAAACTTAATGTACACATACATACAAAATAACACAAAAATGTATTTGCGATTGTACAGCTAAGAAAATGAATTCGCCGCCGAAAAGAGACTCTTCGCTGATCTACGTGTTTTGTTTTCATCAGACGCAGTTTTTCCATTATTTTTAAAAATGGTGAGGTAATAGCGCAATAGATCTAAACTTAATACTTGATTATGGTTGATGATTATGACCGTTAGAATCTGAACTTGGTGTATTATGGGCACCAACAGATGAGCCACACAAAACCTCATCGTTTACTCCTGGGCTGAGATACTGACTGGGCACCCAGACCGGTGGTCGTCTTAAAGGGCCACTCGCCCCCGAGAAGTCTAATCCACAAGGCAGGGGGTTTCCGGTGACCAATAGAGATTCCTATGCCATTCAATTCTCTCGGATTCTGGAGCCGACGTATACCACTCCAAAGGTTTGGAGTTACGGTTTTCTAGCTCCCCTAAGCACCAGCTTCGCATTCACTTCACTTTTGTGAGGAACAACCTCGCCAAGTGAAGGCAGTGATGAATAGGATTTATATGGCAAAGGCCATGAACGCGTAGCCACGCGACAGCATTTCGAGAGGAAGGCCGAAGTCCACTCACCTTCAGACGTACCAAGCCGTTTATGGGGGCAACAATAAGTATAAAAAGTCATCAGTAAACAATAACTCGCTTCATACTACAAGGTATTAAAAAAAGAAACTTCTAAACATTTCGCTAATAAACACATAAACATTTGATATATATATATATATATGTACGTATAACTGCTTAGAAAAACTACCCTTCTTTAAATCCGACTGATAGCTGCTGCCTTGACGTGGTGATCGGGCTTACATATCTCAATGACCCAACAAGTTACATTGGCTGAAACTATTGTTCCTGCAGGCGCTACCATGCCAGGAAGATTGTTAGCATAGCGATTAGACTAAAAGCAGTTACCGGTTTAGTGTTATATTTTTTTTACACTATGCTGGTAGCATGTGGGCAAAGTCATACTGCTAGGGGACAAGGATGTAACAGCAGTAAGTTCATTCCTTCAGATGACTAGCATACCAGCTATGCTGTCTCATCACTCTGCAGAGGAAGGTTAGAAAACGTCAGCTCCAAAAGTTGTACATCCCAACTTGCCCCACAGTGATCCGTAGCCGGCGATAAGTTACTTATACGGAACCAATCCAAGATCAGTTAAGCTCAAACCGGCCTAAAGCAGTTTTCCTCCGGGGCTCTGTGGTCACGCAAAACTAATTGTTTCTGTTTCACATACATAGTAAATAAAAAGAATACTGTATCTATCCTCTCTAAATGCAAAAAGACAGGCATGATTTGATTTGGAATGATATTTCACAGGACTCCCTGTGTCTGATCGGTTGTTGAAGGTCAACTTTTGAAAGACTTTAACTTTGGCTATGATACTTTAACTCCACCGATGAGCATGCCTAATATTCCATTCACAAGCATTAGTCTTCATCAAGCAAATACTCTGAGAATTACAAAAATGTCAAACGGTTGTTTTCACCTAAAAAATCCTTTGTATTCAGCACTTAGAATGCAAGTAGTAAGACAGAAAAGCAAATAATGACGAAGACTGAGTGAGAGTGTCAGCTGAGAACTCTCAAACTTAACGCATATAGGAGACATAAGCAATGCTAAAAACAACATAACTCGCCTAAATGTAAACCATTGTAAAAAAAAATATTTAAAAGTAGTTTACCTCGGTGTAGTAGTGCTGATACGCTTTTTTGAAGCCAAATACACCATTGCCCCTGTGGTTAATGAAAACAGAACCCAAATAACAACAAATCTTGAAAAGTCCGCGAATATGCTGTATATAAATGGCACTAACCACATGGCAATGAGTGTTACGAGTTGGTAGGATCGAAAGTGACGCTGTTTCCAAAACATAAGTCCCATCTGACAAACCAATAGACTGAACACTGCCACCAGAAACATCTCAAGATGCATTTTTTCATGACCTCTGTGTTTCTCATGATATTTTAAATGTTCTATTCTATAAAAAAATTCCACATTTATCACAAGACAGGATACATACCTGAATTTCTCTTCTGCAGAAAGTTCTGATAAGCGGTATGTCTAAGAAGTGACTATTATTTCTAAACAATTAACATGCATACAACGTTATTCAGGACAACGACGTTAGGATCACCATCCATCCAAATGAATTCAAACGACTGGTGCGTGAAGGTCAACCTAGGTACAACACCCAACAATATTTGCTTTAGATTAAGTTATGAATTCAATGTCCAACACATCCAATATCCAATATCGTTTTTACGAGCTAGTATAAGCCAATTTGATTTCTTTGTGCTCGCCTCTTGATTGTGAGGTAGAGGTTCCTGATCTTCGGTAAACGTCTGCGTAGCTCATCCCGCCACTCGACTGTCGTAGCTTTGGTTGACTCCAAAAGGAGTAGTGCAGGGATTAATTGTATGTGGTTTGTAGAATGAGGTGTGTTAAGACTATTACTACTGTGAATGGAGTTGATCCTTTCACCAGTTGGTCCTTCGGTATCGTCGTCAATAGAAAAGAGATAATAATAATAATAATAGATATAATTAGTGAAGGTATTCAGACTAAGAGACGGAGAAGGAATAAGAAAACGTAACAACAGTCAGTCAACCGGTATATATATATACCGGTAATAATTGTAATAATAACAGGTGTAGTTAAAGTTGTCAGGAGAGTAAGACTGAAGAGAATGTAAAGAATTAAAACGACAAGTTTAATTGTCTACTCTTGAAGGGTGTATGCGATTTCAAGGGGATAGGCCATTTGGATGCAGTCCTTGTGTCGCTGCATGGTTGTCCAGCCTTCGCTGAAAGGTGTCCACAGACGGTGCCATGGCTACATCTGCCGGTAAGGAATTCCAGAGATGGCAAACCCGCAGTGAAAAGAAGTGGGAGCGCACCCGGGTTCCAGCCCTCTGGGGACTTAATGTTGGGACTAGTTGGCCGATTCCGATAGAAACCCTTGTGGTTTTTTTCCATGGATTTAGGCAGAACACTTGGGTGACAAAGACTATTATTCCCAGAAATGCATCGCTCTAGTGTCAGTGAACCTTGGGGACGTATTAAAGCTTCTGTTTGCTGCCTCCTTATGATTCGAGGTCTGCTTTCGCAGAATTGGATGTGTCCTCCCATTTTTCCCTTGGTCTCATACCACCGTTGAAGTGCTATGGCCAACTGCTCTGGGGAGTTGAATGTGACACTTAGCAACTTTGGGGAGCTAATCAGTGTGAGATGAGCGGGGCGAGGTAGTCGGTAAACGGAGATGGCTCCAGAAGCGCCAAGGGCCATATGAGACGACAGCCATCTCCACTGCTGTACGTCATGCATGTGTTTTTCTTGAGCAGTGCCCGTTTCCAGCTCCGGAACACCGTGTACCACCATAGAGGTAGAAGGCATCAGTTGCGGTGACTCCCTCGCCATTTGTCTGATAGCCCATGGTCTATCTTTTCTCACCCTTATGTTCGAACTTCTGTCGATGGCTAGTACCTGAGCCATCAATAGTACCTTTTCGGCCTCTTCGGCAGAGTCCAGTGTAACTCTTAATGGGGGTGGCTTGCCCTGAGGCGTGTGGACACCCCTGTACAGCCTGCACAGTTTAACTGAACTAATGTTCAGACCTAATTTATTGCACAGATTGGACCACTGTTCCTGATCAAACAGGGCCCGCTGTTCAAGCAAACTGTCCTTGCTCACAGGTACGTTAAAGAGGATAAGAGAATTAGGCCGATTAACCTCAGACTTGGGTTTGGCCTTTGGCTTCTTGTATTCCTTTGCAGCATCAGCAACTTTAGGCCTCATCAGGTTCTGGCCAGCCTTTGTTGTGTTGCCGAGCTTGCTTTTGGATGCAAGTGGTACTTCTCTAATTCTCCCTTCCCTTGATTTTGAATCTTTGCCTTATGAAAATTGGCATTTTCAGTCAGTAGGACTGGAGTGTCCTTCTTACTGTCTGTGCCAAGTTTTGGCAGTGTGATGTTAGCAGGTGGGGAGCTGCATAAGACTTTGTTGGGACACGCTCTGTGGGACTATGCCAGGGTGACAAAGTGGACAGATGTACCAAAACCACGAGCACGGGTTATTTCTCATAAACTCGTAGTATGCGTTCGGCACCTCTTTGTCGCAACGGCAGTGCACCCACCGTTTGCAAAAATTGCATTCGAACGCTGAGTCAGCTTTAGAAACAGTGATATTGCACGCCTGGCATTCGTCTCCCTTACTTGGTGATGCCTTCGAGGTCTTATGACGTCTTGAACTTTTCCTTTTAGATATGCTGTGTTTCACACACTGGCTTTCAGCTGATGCATGTGTAGTATCCTGTCCCGCTTGTATTACCTGTACCATTTCAGTACTAGACTGTGGTAATGCAGGCGTAGTATCAGGACAGACGAGACCTACACGAGTCTTAAGGACTGGAATGCGGGAAGGGGTTGGTGTCCCTGGGTTTTTGCCTTCTCTGGCTGAAGCCCTTGTGACTACAGAGTGAGGTGTTTTAGTGCCATTTCTAAGGTTACTTTCGACAGCCATATTAACCGTCACTAAAACTTATGCTGTATAAGAATAAGAGTGCAACAGTATCTACCCACAAGAACAAAAATAAGACTGACAAAGTAAAAGACATGGAAAAGAAAAGGTTTTCGACTTCACCTAGTACTTTCTGGATGATCGGCTTCACAGCAATCACGTGGTAGACCAACAAGTCTTGTTTATCTGAACGAGTGAGGAAGATGCTGCTACGGAAATGGCACCTGAAGCTTTGGCAGTAGTTCGAGACAGCTTTACTTACCACACAGAGATTCAGTATGTGAGTAATGGTTGAATTTAATTCAACGGTTAGGAATATCAGGTTTCCCAAGCGGATAATTCACAAAATAGGTATTTTCCGGTTAGAGAGGAAAACGCACGTCGTATTCAAGGAGCGCGCATTACATCACATATAGGTTCGGATTCAGAATTTTTGTCAATAATTCCTTGACTTCTCAACTCTCAGGTTATATCTTCTATGATTTTACGACCCGGTGGAAACAAAAGGACCGTATAGGTTATGTCCGTACTGAAAAACGTGATTAGATCTCCGCTGTGCCAACGGTGTGATGAGGAGAAGAAACTTGAACTGTCACAGGAATATGTGACATTCCTTGGAAGTGTAGCTAGAATGTATGAGTTCACCTTAAAACTAGGGCTGGATGTCTGGACATAACTTTCTAGTTTTAACCTCACCGAAGATGTGCATGAAGTGGTCCAGTGACGACCCTGATAAAAGTTCTGAGTACTGCCTTCAAGGTCATACCACCTGATGATTAAGTCCGGTAGTTTTCAGGCCATGATTTGTTATGGCACGTTGGTTCATTAATAATAATAATATATATTTTCCTATCAATGTAGGACACACCAGTTGTACAGGCATGGATAAGTATTATTTAAATTACATGAGTTTGATTTATAGTGAAATTACATGGTTACTGTCCTCTCTGACATCAGTTAGTGAGCACATTCTGATAGTTAGTCGTTCAATGGAGCACATAAAGAAATATAGAAATATTGTCTTCGCATTAACAAAAAAACCCAAGTATGTGTCGGATAAATTACAAATATTTGGGAAAAATAAAGCTTGAAGTCAATTCCTCCATATAACTTTGTTGTGTGCGGCATCGTATCTTGTTTTATGTTCAAATTGGGTATTAATTTAAAATGAGTGATTAATTTTTATGGTCTTGACATAATTATTTTGCAAGTAATACCAGATGTGAATTCAACTGAATGCAGATTAATATTGGTCAATTTCAAGCAGATTTGTTTTACTGCACTCAAGTCACCCATAGCCCGCCATTTGTCACAGCATGGTTGCTCCGTACGAGTAAGTTGATAAACGCGTAGAAAGCTATATAAAAACCATTTTAGATCGTTGACAGTGCTTGTACAAGATGCTGTACAGCGTCTAGTTTTGGTGACAGTGGATTTCATCAAGGATGCTGAGCCATTACTAGCCAAACCTTGAGGGATAATATATGAGTGACTTCAATTGTTTCTCAGCTTCAGTCGGAATGTAGATCAATGCAACTTGTACTACAAAGTAAATACAACAGAAATGTACCAGAGGACAAAGAAAAACCAGGTGGAGTCTAAAAGATTTGATTATATTCGTTGTACATTGTAATTTGATGAACAAAAATTTGTTTCTACTATGTCTTTTTATGCATTTATGCTACTAGTTTATTTATAGTCTTTAGAGAAGTAAGGGTATTTAAGCGCGTTTAGGTACTGTAGTAGACTAATAGTTGATTCGTTCTAGGAATAAATAGTTTATTTATATAGTCAGTAGAGTGAAATACTGTGTACAGAGAGCGTTTGAAACTTAAAAATGTATTGCAGTTCCTGACATCTAGGGGCAGATTATTCCATATTTTAGAATACATGACTGTGAAGAAGTTTTCGCGGAGTGTTGACTTAAAGGCTTTTATTGTCACTGTGCAATTTTGGTTACGCAGATCGTAAGAGCCTTCTTGTGCGAATTGTATGTCCTTAATGTCTGAGAATGATATTTTGTGTAGGTTTGAACTGGGGAAGTGTTTTTCCTTCCATGCTGAACACACTGGCACTTGGGTGTCCGATACAGATGGTTACTCACTTCGACAGGTTGATTGACAACATCCATAGTCCCGAATAATCTCACAGATTCTTGAGATTTCCTCACAATTTAGGCATTTCACTATCATTCTTTCCAGTTTCATGACAAGTTCTACGTCTGCAGTGAAATCTAAAGGAGGATTGCCGATGTGTTTCTTATCATCCATGGACTTGGCTGAGCTTTCCCTTGCTGTGGGTAGTTTTCACAGACACTAGAGGTTTCCCAGGGAACAGTGCTGAGTGCTGGATAACAGTATGCTGTTTTCTAGATATGCAGTGACAGCTTTCTTGATAATTCTTCCCACCAGCCTGACCAATGTGTCAGTAAGACTTATAGGTCTGGAGTGTGAAGGACGGTGCTTAGATACTTCACTGTGGATGGGGGTCACTAATACGACCTTCTACCAGACTTCATGTTTAAGATAGGCCGTGGATGTTTTAGCCAATGGACAGGCTTTATGGGTCGCTACGTGTTGCCTGTGACGCAACCAGAACAAGTGATACTGGTGGTGTCGGCCCCCATA